ATCATATACATGTTTAATACAAAAAAAAAAAGAATAGGGTCCTATGAAAGCATTTAAAAAGTGGGGATCCCTGGGTGGCGCAGCAGTTTGGCGCCTGCCTTTGGCCCAGGGCGCGATCCTGGAGACCCGGGATCGAATCCCACGTCGGGCTCCCGGTGTATGGAGCCTGCTTCTCCCTCTGCCTGTGTCTCTGCCTCTCTCTCTCTCTGTGACTATCATAAATAAATAAAAAATTAAAAAAAAAAATTAAAAAGTGGTCTGAGGGATCCCTGGGTGGCGCAGCGGTTTGGCGCCTGCCTTTGGCCCAGGGCGCGATCCTGGAGACCCGGGATCGAATCCCACATCGGGCTCCCGGTGCATGGAGCCTGCTTCTCCCTCTGCCTGTGTGTCTGCCTCTCTCTCTCTCTCTCTCTCTCTCTATCATAAATAAATAAAAAAAATAAAAAATAAAAAAAATAAAAAGTGGTCTGATCATGTGTGTGGATATGGAGAACTTATCCTACCTAAGGGCTCCTTGGGTAAATGATATTTGACTGATGCCTGAGTAAGACAAAGGTACGGGAGTATGGAGCGGGCAGGAGCTCTTTAGCCAAAAGCATGTGTAACTGTTCTGGGTTCTGAGGTAAAGAAAGGCAGTAGTGCAGTGATTAAGAACATGACTTTGGAGACAGACTACCTGGATTTGAGTCACCACTTATTATTAGCTCTGTGTACTAAGGCAAGTTACTCAATCTCTCCGAGCTTCCATTTTTCTCATTTTTTAAAAATGGAGATAATAGAAGCATTTACCTTACAGGGTTACTATGAAAATTAGATCAGGGATCCCTGGGTGGCGCAGCGGTTTGGCACCTGTCTTTGGCCCGGGGCGCGATCCTGGAGACCCGGGATCGAATCCTACATCGGGCTCCCGGTGTATGGAGCCTGCTTCTCCCTCTGCCTGTGTCTCTGCCTCTCTCTCTCTCTCTCTCTCTCTCTCTCTCTCTCTCTCTCTGTGACTATCATAAGTAAATAAAAAAAAAGAAAGAAAATTAAATCAGTTGATGCATATATATACATATATGATACACATATCATATATCATATATATATATGTGTGTGTGTGTGTATATACCAGACCTTGCCACATAGTAAATGCCACATAGTGTTAGTAATTAATGAATACAGCTATTCTGAGGAATGAAATGAAATAAAGCTACTGTGATGAAAAGTGTAAAAAAAGAAACTGGAGAGATTGGCAGGAATATAATCAAAAGGTTTTAAGCGGCAGAGTAACTATTATAATAAAAATATAACTGGTAAAATCTCTCTCTCCAGACCCCATCCTCCTTACTGCCAAAAGAATACAAACTGATTGCATCAGCTCTTCCTTTCAAATTTTCAAAGGCTCCTCATCTTCTGCCCACATGACAAAAACCAAACCACCTTACACAAGTTAAAATGCTTTTCAGTATCACTCCATTCTACATTTATGGCCACACAGTTCATTTCCTTTTTTTTTTCCAAACTATCTTCAACCACCAACATAAATGAGCTTTATGCGTCAATATTACAAATGTCTCACTGTTCTCAACACTCTGACATTATACACCCTTGTGGTTCTCTCCTCAGCAGTAATCCCTTTTTTCACCGTTGACTAGAAACCTGGTACCACTGCAGTTCAAGACATTTTCACCCACATTGTTTTTTTTCTCCAACTGTGTTAGCATGACTGCATTTCTACAAAACTTCAGAAATTTGCTGTTGATGTGAACTTATATAAGAATTCAGATATTTTTCCCTCCTACTTCAAAGCTTGTTCTTTTCCGAGACTCCATACAAAAGCCCCAAACTCTTTATAAAACTGGAAAGTTTTTATTATTTTTTTTTATTTTTATTTATTTATGATAGTCACACACACACACACACACAGAGAGAGAGAGAGAGAGAGAGGCAGAGACATAGGCAGAGGGAGAAGCAGGCTCCATGTACCGGGAGCCTGACGTGGGATTCGATCCCGGGTCTCCAGGATCGCGCCCTGGGCCAAAGGCAGGCGCTAAACCGCTGCGCCACCCAGGGATCCCTGGAAAGAGTTTTTAAAAAAGAGATAAAACTCTTGTCAACCCCAAAGTCAGGATCACTTCATCAAGATCAACAGTGGAACCAAACATTAACTGTCCTGGAAGTCAGAATTAAAGGCATAAGTTCTTAACCAGAGGTCGACGGACTCCTCAGGGCTACAAAGTAGTTTTATGAAGCCCCTCAAATCGCATGCAAAGTATATGTACATGCCTTTTTCTGGGGAGAGGGTTCATACCTTTCATCAGAGTTTCAAAGATATCTGTGACCTCCAAAAGGTTAAGAAGTGCTCTAGAGAAAAAGCAAAGACAAGCAAATGTGATTAAAAGAGTGAATCCTTTTCAGGGGCACCCTAAGTGGCTCAATCAGGTAAGCTTCCGACTCTTGATTTCGGTTCAGGTCATGATCTTAGGGTCATGAGACTGAGCCCAATGTCTGGCTCCCCACTCAACCGGGAGTCTGTTTGAGACTCTCTCCATCTCCCCCTCCCTCCCTCTCTAAAAAAGAAATACATATTAAAAAAGGGGGGGCCTGGGTGGCTAAGTGGTTGAGCATCTGCCTTTGGCTTAGGGTGTGACCTGGGATAGAGTCCCACATCCCGCTCTCCACAGGGAGCTTGCTTCTGCCCCGGTCTCTGCCTCTGTGTCTCTCATGAATAAATAAAATCTTAAAAAAAAAAAAAAGGGTGCATCCTTTTCAGGCCATCAGATTTTATGGAAAGAAACACTCCATAAACCAACACAAAATCCATAAAGGCAAGTCTCAAGACTAGTGACTTACTCCGGGTATTTTAAAAGTGGAATTAATAAAAAGAAAACATTAAATCTGCTACTCATATTTCCTTTTTTGTCTCATTCACTCAAAACTTTCCTTTTTTTTAATTTTTTTTTAATTTTTATTTACTTATGATAGTCACAGTGAGAGAGAGGCAGAGACACAGGCAGAGGGAGAAGCAGGCTCCATGCACCGGGAGCCCGATGTGGGACTGGATCCCGGGTCTCCAGGATCGCGCCCTGGGCCAAAGGCAGGCGCTAAACTGCTGCGCCACCCAGGGATCCCTCATTCACTCAAAACTTTCTTTTCAGAGCACCTGGTAGCTCAGTCAGTTAAGTGTCCCATGCTAGATTTCAGCTCAGATTATCTCACCGCTGTAAGATTGAGCACCGCGCCGTGCTCAGGCTGGAGTCTGCTTATCACTCTCCCTCTGCTCACACTCTCCCTCTCTCAAATAAATAAATGAATAAACTCTTTAAAAAAGCCAACTTTCTTTTCTGTGTATATTTTATAACCTACCTAACAGTATCACAGAACATAATTTATTTAACACATACAACAGAGGTGGTTACTCAATTTTCTTCACTCATCGACTTAGGAGAACCACTGCTATAACCCACATGTTTCAGTGCTACCAACTTAACAGCAACTCCAGGATACGCGAAAACCCACTAATCCACTTCAGAATCCATGGGTGAAAAATCAGATTTCACAGAAAGGCTAACTGCTGCCAACGAGCATGTGCCCTCCCCACCCTTATTCTCCTTACTCCTTTGTAAAAGCTCTTCTAGTCTTAAAGGATCAGTTTACAGCTTTGGCTAAATCAGCCTGGTTTGTCCAAGGTTCCCAGGATGATGGGACCAAAGTACCTGATGGGAAAACTACTTGTGAAGCCGCAAATGGACAAATAATCAAGATATTCACTCAATTGACCCTAAAATAAACTATTCTCTTCTTCAGGAAAATAATCATCCCAATGTGCGGAAGCTACCAAGATTCACAAAAGACACCATTTAAAACCGCCCTGTGACTGAGAGTGTCACCCACACCACGAGATGCAGGGCCCTCCGCGAGATGAAAAGGAGAGGGAGAAACCTAGGGCTCTCCCAAAACACCACAGTTAAGAGTGAGCAGTGTTCCCGCTGGTAAGGACAGGGCGGGGGCGGCGGCGGCGGCGGGGAATCCGAGGACTGCTGGATCCCAGGTGCTGTGCCTTCACGACCCGAGATCCCCCAGGTCGCTGGCGTCTGAGAGGCCTAGCTCCTGAGGCCTCTCCTCAGATTTCAAAGTTAGCTCCGAGGGCGTAACCCCACTAAAAAAAAAAAAAAAAGGAGTGGGCGCGTTCTCTGGATCGTGTCCGAAAGGCGGACGGGGAGAAACACACAAAGCTGCCGTCATCAGCGGACGGGAATGCCGGCCTGGGAAAACGGACGAGAACGCGTCGACCCTGGAAGAAAAAGGGGTCCTGGCTCCAGCGCGGGGCAAAAGGGGGGGACCACTGACGTAATGCAGCTCTGACGAGAACCGAGAAGGGAGCGGAGCAGGTTGGAAGCACTTGCACACCCGCCGGGGAAGGGACGGATGATATGAGGGCGAAGAAAGAGCCGAAATAGCAAAGATGCCGCAAAACCATACGGAGAAGTGGGAAATTGGGGAAGGCGTAGTGGGCAAGACCAGAGGCACAAAAGAACTATGGCGGGAGCCAGAAAGCGAAGTGGAAAAGCCGGCAAGGCGGACACGTAATAAAAGGCGCAAGCCGGCCGGCAGAACGCAGTCCCCAGAACGCCTAAGGCAGCCTCTCCCCGCCTCACGGTACCTTCAGCTTATGGAGCTCCACCGTCTCCGCCGCCATCTTGCCGCCCCTCCAGGCCGCCACCCCCGCCCGCGGCCTCCGCTTCCCGGAGCTCCCGCCTGTGCGCAGCGATCCACGCGGACCAATCGCGGTGGCTCTTACTCCCGCCTCACACTACCAACCCCTCCCATTAGTCCAGAGCGGACGTCGCGCTCGCCCGGCCGGCGGCTTCCCCCGGCTCTCTCCGAAGGCGGGGCGGGGGAGGGGCGGGCCCTGCGCGGTCCGAACGGCGGAAACGGCGGCCAATCGCGCGGCCCCGTCGCAAACTGCCAGCCAATGGTTGCGGCAGCGCTGACCGCGTTCCACCAATAGGGGGAGGGCGGCTGGACGGGGGCGGCGGCTTCCTGGAGACCGCAGGTGTGGGAGCGGACGCCGCGCCTCGAGTGGGACCCGCTGGGGAAGCCGCAGGTAGGGGCCGCCAGGACCTGGAAGGGGGCTGAGGAGAGACGCGGGGAGGCGAGAAGCGGGGGCGGGGAAGCCTGGAGCGTCGGCTAAGAACCGGGAGAGGAGCTCCTAAAGGAGCCCCGAGGCCGGCCGACGGACGACGCCCGAGAGGGAAGCCGGGAGGCGCGCGGGGCGGGCTCAACCCCAGGGTTTGGGGAGTTTTAAGGAAAGCCGGGCTGGCCAGATCGGCTTCACAACTCGGCGTCGACAAGCACGATTTTAAAGGGCCAAGTTCAGATGATCAGGGCCGCCCCTGGAATCGGGGACAGGGCTCCATCTCTCGAGATGCTGCACGCAGGTCCCTTCCTAGTTCCGTCGAAAAGCCAGGAGGGGAAATACTGGGCAGCGCCCCGCTCTTGAGAAAGGGATTGGAACGCGGCCTGCTTACAGGCCACGGGGATGAGAGACACGATGGCAAGCCCCCGAGGAAGGTGCGGACTAAAGGAGTCTTGTCTGCTCACCCCGCTTTCCTGGTTTCCCCTGCTGCCAGGACTCCCTGCCGCAAGCCTAGGCTCACCCCTTCAGGTTACGGTTGAACTTTAAGGATCACAGTGAGTAAGAGTAGAGAGGCCTGTCTCGACTTTTAAATTTTCTTCCCCAAGTTTTCAGTTTTTCCTTGGTGCACAGTGGGGAAGCTCTTCCCAGTGGAGTTCAGGGGATTTGGACTACTCAGGAGACAATTTGTGGGAACAAACTCAAAGAGAGGTTGACAGGAAATTGAGTTGGACTTCTGCCTGATCCCCCATTGTGGTAGGATGAATGTGGGGGTGGCACACAGCGAAGTAAACCCTAACACTCGCGTGATGAATAGCCGGGGCATCTGGCTGGCCTACATCATCTTGGTAGGACTGCTGCATGTGGTTCTACTCAGCATCCCCTTCTTCAGCATACCTGTTGTCTGGACCCTGACCAACGTCATCCATAACTTGGTGAGCACTAAACCACACCCTTATACCCAACCCAGGCCTTTCCCAATCAAAAACAAAATCATTTGTCTTCCTTTTGGGATCTCAGCATAATTCCTGGGCTGAAGGACTATTTTCTGCCTCCTCACACTGCCCCCTTCCCTCCTCCTAGGCTATGTATGTCTTCTTACATACAGTGAAAGGGACACCCTTTGAGACCCCTGACCAAGGGAAGGCTCGGCTACTGACACACTGGGAACAGATGGACTACGGGCTCCAATTTACCTCTTCCCGCAAATTCCTCAGCATCTCTCCTATTGTACTGTGAGTCCAGGGGGAGATAATGGGAAATGCTCCAAGTGTCGGGTGCAGACACCCCCCGCCCCCACCCCCACCCCGGGAAGCTTTAAAAGAGCAGACTACTCTCTTAGACCCTTTGAAGATATTATGGTATGGTCTAAATCTAGGGAGAGCAGTAAAAAGTAGGAAGTAGTAGTCAAGCATTCCTTGCTGCCTCTTTGGTGGTATGGGATGCAGAAAGGACTGAAAAAACACCCAAGTAAAACCAAATGGTTTTACACTTCCAAAGGAAGTGAATAAAGAAAGCCAGAGTGATATAGATCTGTGAAAACTGTGGGGAATGGAAGCAAAGGAACTCTCATATAGGCATACAGTCATAAGGGCTTCAGCTGTCATTTGCCATGTCATTAACAATTCAAAAACACTAACTTATAAATCTCCAGCTAAAGGTGCTGATTTTCTCCCCAACCCCAAAGTAAATACTGTTAATTTAGCTGGAATACTTTCAGATATTCTATTCTAGGACTACATGCCATAAAACTGGTCATTTAAAATAGAAGTCACTGGAAGATCATAATTATGAATAGGGAAAGCCAACTTCACTCAACGCATTTCTTCTCTCCCCAGCTACCTCCTGGCCAGCTTCTACACCAAGTATGATGCTGCTCACTTCATCATCAACACAGCCTCATTGCTTAGCGTACTGCTGCCTAAGTTACCCCAATTCCATGGGGTTCGTCTCTTTGGCATCAACAAATACTGAGGGACAGGGCTGGGGATAACACTGGACCAAAGGGCTAGAACATCCTTTCCTTCTCCGTATTGTCTTCTGTATCTTGAAAGCCTGAGAACTATATAACCTTTCCCCAACTCCAGGAAGAGAACAGATTGGAAAATGGGGCTCCCGGGGCCCAGCCCTAAGAGCAGATTTTTTTGAATCAGGAAAGGTGGGAAAGATAAGGGCTCAATCACTCTCCTTCACAGCAGGAAGCCATGTTTAAACAGCTCGTTTGGTAACCGAGCAGCTTGTTTTGTGATTTTTTTCTAGATCTTCTACCGACACCACTTTCCAGCTGTTTTGCTGTGTATTTTCCTTATAATAAAGATACTTTTTTTTTTTTCTTTCCAGATATGGCTACAGTTTGGTCAGCAGGAAGGGTAGGGAAATGTCCTTATAAGGCTAGGGAAGAAACAAGGAATAGCAACTTACTGTATAAAACTTCTCTAAGGTATTTTTTATCCCCTCTCCCTTGGTCCTGTAGGAGGTGCCCTTCATTCTCAGCTAACACTTAGTAGGAAAAGGATGCTCAAGTGAGAAAAAGGGCTCCAGCTATATGGGCAAAGAAGAGAGGGAAGATACAGGTTGCCAGTTATATATTTATAGAAAGATAATCCCCTGGCTTTAAATAGATATATACATACAAATATGAACAAACTTAAAAAAAATACAAACCCTTGGATCATAAGGGGGCTTCTGGGAGCCCCTTTATCCTTCCCCCTCACCCAAGGGCAGAGGGCATGAGTCTGCTTTTTAAAAATTATTAGTTTTGGCCATCCCTGCAGCAACAAGCATGAAGTTGGGTGATTACCCACAAGGTGAATGTCAGAGGAAAAATTCAGAGTTCCCACTCTGAACTCTGTATATTCTCCTATAATTAGGGCTACATGCTTCTTGTTCTGTCTTTTAACTAGTATGTTGGCATAAAGGAGGGGCCTCCCTCCTGAAATGGTTCAAAAAATAAGATAGACTTGTAGTTTAAAAAGAAGGGGAAAAGTGTCATCTGCTCTAGAAGCAAAAGACAAAGGCATACAGACCCCAGGGAAATACCCAGTTCCCACACAACCATGGGAGATACTGTCCAGCCCAGGTCCAGGCTCTAGGTTCTTTGCTCTAGCCACCCCCTATTTCTTTGGTATTGTCAGAAGACAAGATTCAGTTCCTAGGTGCTGGTGGGAGAGGGAAAGTGGTTCCGGGGCTTCCTACAAGTACTGAGTGAACAATTTGAGCTTAAAATTTTCCCTTTTTTAAATATTTAAAAATAAACAATCAAAACTCCATCCTGTGCTATACACAGCCCTTTTGACTCCCTGACATTGATCTGAGGAAAGAAGAGAAGGGGTGTCAACGTTGGAAGGGCCTCCTCACTTTCTTCCGCCGCTTCGGTTTGGCTTCTCCCTTGGGTACTGTGCTGTTGGGCTTAGAGGCTGCAGTGGCCCCAGGGCCAGGCTGAGGAGCTGCAAAGAAGTTCCCATTGGGCATCTGGCCTGGGGGTACTTGAAAGATCCGGCTCAAGAAATCCTGAAGGTCAGCAGGAGGGGCATCTGGGGTTGCTCTAAGAGTAAAACAGAAGACATTATGAGGAAAGAGATATTAAGAGTTACATGGTTACCTGTGTTACCTGTTTATTATACCTAAGTTAATGATATACTGGGGAAAAAAAACAAAGATATACTGAGTCAGCTGCCAAACTTCTTAAGGGTAATAAAACATCTAGCTGTCCTAAGCAGCATGTCATCTAAAATCATATTCAAAACTAAAATAGTAGGTAGGTTGTTGAAAGAAGTAACACCTACCTCTGCCGCCCACTGGTGCCTGGAATCCGAGAACCAAATGAGATGTGATAGGGGACTCTGTGGGTATCTGGGGAGATTCCCACACGCTGGCATCCAGCCCATTCTACAAATAAGAGAAATGATTAGCCAAAACATCACAGTTTTGAGCATCCATGAGCCCATATGTCTAGAGAACAGAAGTATACCTGTGATATCATACACCTTTCCATCCATCAGTGCAAAATAGGTGATCTTGAGGCCTAACATGCTTGACTCTGCCCAAAAGTCTCCTTCCTCAGCAGGATGCAGTTTATTACACTCAGCACAGTATCTGGCACTCTTAGGTTCCCGGTCCATTTCAAACCTCCTACAACCCAACAAAAGGACAATTCCTTTTAATTTGTCAAGGCTACAATATTCTAGTATCATCATTATAATCACTTCTCAGCTTTTTGGCTAAGATCAAGTGTATAATATCATTTTATTGACAAATATGGCTGAGACATCTAAAAGTATCTCTATTCAGTTGTTATATATGCCTACAAACATTCATACCCGGGGATCCCTAGGTGGCTCAGCAGTTTAGCGCCTGCCTTCGGCCCAGAGCGTGATCCTGGAGTCCCAGGACTGAGTCCCATATCAGGCTCCCTGCATCAAGCCTGCTTCTCCCTCTGCCTGGGTCTCTACCTCTCTCTCTGTGTCTCTCATGAATAAATAAATAAAAAATCTAAAACAAAAACACCGACATCCTCAACCTTCTCTCTTAAAACTAAAAATACTACCTTTTTTTCCTTACTGCTAATCCAAATCCCCTGTCTCTTGACACTAAGGCAAAAGTAGAAACCTCAGGGTCTTTTTATTCATCATCTGTATCCCCCAACTACCAGTACTACTCACAAGGAAGTCTTTGGCTACCAAAGCTTTGGCTATCCCATTCCTACCCTATTTCATACCTATGCTTTCCCTGGCATCGGCTGCACATCATAGTATTCATTGCTTCTTTGAGGTCATCCTGCAGCTTAGACAGAAACTCATTCACTGACCGGCTCAGCTCATTCTCTGCCATTCGTTTCCTAAGAGAAGAAAGCCTTTGTAAATCAGACAGTACTGAGCAAGGGACAAAGGAAGATGAAATCTTTTAGCTCCTTGAAGTCCCTGGCCAGCTAGAAAGATAAGCAACCCCATTTCTCTCTGCCTCAGAGAGTCTCCTCCATTCACAAGTCCAGGGACCTCTATACTTTGAAAGATTAGTCATTTATCCCACCTGACAATTTCCCATTTCCAACTTACATTTCATATTCCTTCCGCCTTTCAGGGTTGCTGACAATGTCCCAAGCTGCCCGTAAAACCTTGAAGGCCTCTTCAGCCCGGGGATGATGATTTTTGTCAGGATGAACCTACCAAGGCAAAGACTTCATCACAAATCCATTCCAACCCTCTCCCCATCTTAGGTCAAAACAATCTCCTTATCAGGTGCCTGGGTGGCTCAGTGGGTTAAGCATCTGATTCTTGATCTCAGCTCAGGTCCTGACCTCAGGGTTGTGAGTTCAAGCCCTGCATTGGACTACAAACCGGGCATGGAACCTACTTAAAATACAAAACAACAACAAAAAACAATAACAACCCTCATATCAAAGGGTTCTCTTTTCACCACCCTTTTAAAGAATCAATACAGCTTACTGACTAATTGCTCTGGCTCTGCAAACAGATATGGGATCAAGTTCTAGCTCTGTCACTACTAGCTATATGACCTAGAATATTATATCTATCATGGATTACTGTATTAAATGAGAATACTTATGATATATATAGTGCAGGATCTGGTACTAGAGTGACCCACCATCTCGGTGTGCCTGGGATTGTCACAATTTTAGTACTGAAAGTTTATGTCTCAGGAAATCCTCAATCCCAGGCAAACAGGGATGGTTGGTCACTCTACCTGGTACACGCATACTAAGCCCTCACAGTTTAATTCTATTGTCAATCGTAAAATAAGGGTTCCAAAGATACTATATCCTCAAACTCAGTTTTTCCTAAGTAGAAATTTCTCGTGTGTACTTCCTACAGTATTTTGCCTTCTGTACTAGAAATGAAATAGCATTCTGTGTTCCTCATAGGCTTTTTATCCACTTTTCTCTAAGACAAATAGTATCCTCACCTCCTACAGCTTCCTGATTGTTCCCAACCTCATTTTCCAAAAGTACAGAAAAAAGCTAGTCTCCTGATACCAGGTAAACAGAATGCTGTTAAATCTACACATACCCAAGCTTATAGAAGAGCCTTTTAGTCATGGTCACTCTGGGGCCTAATAAGGGCTGTAAGAATTGCCCAAGAAAGCAAGTTGAGAATTTTTGTAAGAATGCTATTCCCCAAGAGAGGATATCTGCTAAAGACATGAAAGTGAGAAAAGCTCTACTGCCAGTAACAATCTTAGTGTAAACTATCATTCCCCACTCTTAAGAATATCCCAGTCTACCCACTTAAGGGACATGCATTTCCCACCACACTAATTTAGTCCTCTGCTAAGTTACAGACCTGGTACCTTACTGTGTCTTGAATGGTTAATGGGCACCTTGGTTACCCATTCCTCTTTGGTGTCATGTAATTGTTGAGGTAATTTACACACCATGATAATTTTATCAGTCCAGTTCCATACACTCAAATAGGCCTCTGATGGAATTAGCACACATTACTTATATTCATAATACAGTTTTACTAAAAGAAAAGGCAATAATATATCTAAAAATAGCACTTTAATATCTACTAATAGCAATTTGATTGCATGATTATATTAAACCACTTCCCTCAAGAATATGGTGCATTACAACTGCCACCTGTACCACCCCTCCTTATCAATAAAAGCAACTATATCTTGGGATGCCTGGCTCACTGTCAGTAGGACAGTGTGACTCTTGATCTTAGGATTGTGGGTTTGAGCCCCACATCAGGTGTAAAGATTACTTAAAAATGAAGTCTTAGGGATGCCTGGGTGGCTCAGCGGTTGAGCATCTGCCTTTGGCTCAGGGCGTGATCCCAGAGTCCTGGGATCAAGTCCCACATCGGGCTCCCTGCATGGAGCCTGCATCTCCCCTTGCCTATGTCTCTGCCTCTCTCTCTGTCTCTCATGGGTATATAAATAAAATCTAAAAAAAAAAAAATCTTAAAAAAAAAAGCGCAACCATATCTTAACATGTGGCATACAGATGTACATGCCTCCATATTGTTTATGTTCCATTCTCTCTCCCTTTTCCACTGTAGATTGCTGGTCTTGAAATACTTTGTTTTCTTTCACCCGGTCCTGGAATCATCACATGCACTTCCTGAACTTTTCCACACTAAGTCCACACTTGCCTCTCTGCGAAAGATAGTTGGATTTTCTCCTGTTATTATTTTTTCTAAACCCTCATTTATTGAGAATAGAGGAATTGACAGGCTTTCTGATTAGGCCTCTTCTCCACCCTAGTCAGCAGGACTTCACCTGGATATTCCAGGGTGAGTGATCCAACATTGATAGGCCAGGTTCATTTCTTTTCATTAAGAATCTCATGACAAAGACCTTAAAATGAAGGGAAAATCAGATCCCATAACAGAGGGGAAAAGCCTTTGTGTGACTGTTTCCTAAGAATTAAAGTTACTCCAGCTTCAAGCTGACTTTTTACTCTGCCTTCTCTTTATTCTACTCTCGCTAAATTTGGAATAGAAAATAAAAAACAAAAGAGGAACGGGAAGGGTACTCACCATCACTGCCAGCTGCCTATAGGCCTTCTTCAGTTCAACATCTGATGCTGTGGCTTCAACCCCCAACACATGGAAAGGGTTTAGCTCATCCTCAGGAACCCCAGCCAAGGTCAAGAGTCGAACCACTTCCTCTTCAGGCTGGCAGTAGCGACCACCAGCTACAGGTGCATTCCCCTGCCTGTTAGTTCTTGGCTTGACCCAAGGCAACTCCAGCCAACTCCACTGAAACATTTTTACCAACTGCTGCCATGGCCTGCTATCTCTTAACAGAATCAGGCAACGCTGCAAGGTGGGGAAATCCAGCCAAGAAAAGAGCCAAGTAGCTTTACCCCTCCAGCCTAACCGGTCACCCAGTCCTACCAGAAACCGCCAGCCCAACTGTAGACAGCCCAACAAGAGGGCCAGAGCCAGGAGCAGCAAAGCACCCAGTAGCCTAAGAAAACGGGTGAACAGCCCTGCTCCATAGCAACATCCTTGGCTCAGAAATTGGAACATCACCTGGGCCCAGCCCCCCAGCCGCCCTGCCCAGGCTCCCAACCAGACTCGAAAAAGGTCCAGATCACTGCCTTTCAGCTGCCTGCATGCATAGATGAGATGACCACAAGTTTCCACGTACTCTCCCACCAATACCAGCAGTTCAATCAGCCACCAGAAGCCTGCCTGTCCAAGCTGACATAGTTCCTCTGCTCCCCATAATCCGAGGCCTCTGCGCTTATCTGCCTGACTTCGTTTCCGGCCCAGCCGATGTCGCCCAGGGGACCTGGGAT